ATTAGAAAAATACATATCACACCAAACACATAATTAGACTCTATGCGCCCTCATACGGCAAAACAATTACACATATAAAGTGGCATGCTCTATGGGACTACACATAGTGCCAGGTTATTTTTTTATTTTTTTATTGACGACTATAATGATCTCAACAAACAAATATGTTTCAACTTGCCCTGGGTGTCTAACACAGCAATCACACTATAATTTAAATTCTATAAAATTCAAATCATAAATGTGTTGGTAGATTCAATGCACCCTGACATGGTGAACAGATGCGGTTACACATACAAAACGGATTGTAGCACACTCTATGAGACCACTTGCTATCAGAGTTAATGGTGGCTGTGAATGAGCAAGACATGGTCTCCTAAATTATTGGGGAAGACCTATGGCATACATCATCCTACTTCAGAGGGCATAGACTGAGCCTTCAAAGAGCTTGTCTTATATGCGCAGTGGGCTTGGTTTATGAGAAAGTGGGCAGGTCACCTGTCAAAATCTAGTTTGATGACTTATGCAGCTTCTAACTACTTACAAAAATATTACAATCACAACTACTTTTATATATTGTACAGCGCTATGGAATCTGATGGCGCTATATAAATAATAATAAAATAATAATAATATATCCATAGCATTAAAGAGGTGTATATACAGTATGTGTCTGTTGACATACCACTTTTTCAAATAATATGTTTAGCGTAAACAAATATATATTTGATAAAAACTTTGTCTGCAAATGTGGAGCCCTTATATGAAAAAGTAAATAAATATGGTTTATCTCTACATTTTTCAGTATAGAAAATCAAATCATGTGATTAAATATAATGGATAAAAATCAGCATTGTAAAATTCTGCTGGAGTTAAAAGCATTTTCATTAAAATGTTTACTTACAGAGTGCATCTGCAATTGGAAACGCATCAAATAAATCGGATTTTGTTGATTATGTACAACATTATTTTTAGATGAAATAAGGGTCAAAGAGCTTTGGACATAGGGGTCCATATGCTCAAATGTAATTACTTCAATATCAACTTGCAAAATATTTAAAGAAACACAATATAGTGCCCCATAAACTTTTCTTGCCTCAAACAGATAGAGGGGTCATTTAGAATCCAGGTCCCCCTTTGTAACAAAAAAAGAGCAAGTAAGCTAGCCCATTACCTGTAGTCCAGTGTTTAGATAGCCTCTTTTATGCAGGCTGGTCCAACTCCATTGGGATGATCAGGCTTAATGACAATTGTGTCCAATCAAATGCTTCTCATAGAGAACCATTGAATCCAGCCTCTATGCGAAGCATTGATTGGGCTTTGACGTCCTCATGCAATGTGTTAGGAAGTTGACATTAGCATTGATAAAGGGCAATCACCCGAAACGTTTGCAACTTATATTTTGTCCTTCCAATAAATATGGTAGCACCTGGGTGTGCACTTTAAATACCAGCTGGACATTACTCAATTTTTTTCTTGCTTTGTTACGAAGTTGAATGTCAAGAACTAAGTCGATTCTCAATGTGGAAGCACAACCTAGTTGCTATCAGTGCTACAGCCCTAGAGGTGTGTTTAGCCCCACAAGTGTCTCCAAAATGTACATTTAAATTTACATTGCGGGAGTAAACCGGCATAGTAATTTGAGATTAAGTGGTCTGAGTGCTTAAACTTGTCCTTAAGAACCATGTTTTGTTTTGTGAGATAACCCTCACAACCTGTTAATTATCGAAGTGGCCTCAAAATGTATTTTCATACATAAGTTAAAATAAAATAATTATTTAATTAGATTGTCATATTTTAGCTGACGATACAGCTAAAACACCCATCAATGTTTCTGTACGGAGGCTGACATCTTGCAATTACACATACATTTTCAATCAAACAGTAAAAGTTATGGATTACAAGAGAGCATACAATGTCAGAGTCCATGATGGTGGTCTTAATGGTTCTGTGCTTCTTATTAAAATGTATAAAATAAATTTCTTGTTCGATTCCCTCAATCTACAGCTGTACTTACAGTTAAAATAACTGAACATCTCTAAAATTCTGTTTTCTCTACAGAAATAAAATCAGCCTACATAATAAAATCAGAGTAATATTATAAAGGCAAAAGATGAACAATTCTAGAGACAGAAGTACATTTTGAAAACATCACCATAAAAATCAATACATTGTTACTGTTTATCCAAACTAGGATTTGCCCAGGGGCACCTCCATTATTGAGGACACTCACATAATATCCTACAAGTGGGGATTGTACCACTGTACTCATCATATGCTAGAGCTGGCCATAGCTCTAATAAATGTGAGTGTAATACTGTTCTGCTATATCTACTGTATCTGATTTGACATATTGTACTATTAGCTTTTCCTTTCTCTTGTCTTTTTTGTATATATGGACACCTGAGAAACTTTAAAAAGATATATCCCTCAAGCATAAGAAATGTACGCCTTGCCAAGTACCAAAAATTGCACTTACCTTGGAGGCACCATTTTACGTGAGAACTTCTTTTGGGACTATGAATATATATTGTATTATTTTGTACACTGATTTATTTTCTGTTTTGTTTTAATATTTGGGGTGCAGCCCTTCCTTTCCTTTTGTTGTTCTTCTAGATTCTTTTTAAAGGGCTGAGAGGGACCTTTTTTTGGGTTGCTGCCTTTCAAAAACTGTCTGGTTAATTAGCGCTGACCCATTTGTGTGTTTTTATATTTGAGGAAGCCTCTAAATGTATATTTTATTTACAGATCCAGTAATGGTGAATAGTGGGAGAAAAAAAAAGGAGCAGTAAAAAAATTAAAATACATTTATATATCATCAATATTAAAAATGCAGATTTGTTTGCACTGCTCCTCCTGCATGCATGCTTGATATTCCCATGTTTATTCTGCATGTATCATCCCTATCAATTCCAGCAGAATTACACTATACATTTTGCACACTTCCGATTAGGATTTTAAACCGTAGTGATTTGTTAAAAGTATGATTAAGTTCACGATCCATTTATTAAATTTGTTAAATTAGAGTATTGTTATCATTACTTCATTAGTATCAGTTAAATATTCGTATCTGCTATTTAAAACAAATGATGGTTAGGGTATTATAATAACCTATTTCTCCGTGCATCAGTAAATCGAAATATTTAAAATAAAATTATGAAAGGGGTGGGATGGGGGTGGGGCGGTAGCTTGGATCAGTACTAATTAAGGCAATGTGTGCATACTTACTCTCAAACCAAATGTTTAAACCCTCCCCCTCCCCTCCCCCCCCACTGCCACTCAGGTCTTTAGGTAGAATAAAAAAAAGTCAGTCTTTTGAATGTAAATTTGAAACAATTTTGCCGTCACCTTGCTTAAAAATCAAACAGTATATGACAGTGAGCCACCCACATGATCATTATAGGAGCAGCTGTGATCATTAACTATACATTTTACAGAATGCCAACGTTTTTCTTCATTTTAAATATACATAAAAGTATAATATAAGCCATCTGGTTGCATAATGATGAAAATCATATAGGATTAAATCAAACGTTTAAAACACTGTATCATATTCTTTGAGGCCAATTTTAAAAGACTTGAAAGAAAATTGTTCCACAGTTGGATGTTGTCAATGACTGTTATGTGAAAAGACATTGTAGTTTTCATTTTAAAATCATAAAAAGTGAAACAAAGCATGCAATTCTTTCTTTAGTTTCAACTGCTCACAAGCTGAGTCCATGAATACCTTTAATACAATTGTAGATTAAATATGTTACTCTTATTTTACATTTAGATCTTCACTGAGGAGCTCTGTCCTTTGATTGGCTACTTATTTTTGTGTAATTGCTCAGACTCTACTGCTATTGGCGGAAAATGGGAGTTCCGAACATTACACTCAATATTAATACAGTTTTTATTTTTTGTGTCAATCTGTTTTTATTAGCAACCCACATGTAAGATATGCATTACAGAAATGAAGTCAATAACACAGTAAAAGACAAAAATGGCCTATCGTATACTACGGTACAAATTGCGTAGGAGCAGGGAAGGCTATATGCCTCTTGAGTCATATGATATGTGGAAGGTGCTAACACCTATACAACAAAACGCAAGAGGCTTACACTTACAATACAGGAATTAAGAAAGTTGCTCTGAGCCAAAATCAATGGGTGAGGGGGATGAGGGGAGTGGGGGATTGGAGGGGGAGAGAAAGGGGCACACATACCCCTAAGCCAACGGGAAGAACATGAACGTGACGTGTCTCTAAGGACATTTATCACATGTCTACATGTACAGTGGTAAGTAATGGTAAAACAAATAACAGCATGCTACAATAAAAATAAACTAAGTAAAAAACAAAAATGAGTGCAAGGTAGCATAGAACATTCAAGTTATCCCCGTGAATGTAGAATTGCCTCATTGATTTGCTGGAACAAACAGTTGAGCTGCGGCCTAATTCCATATAGTCGTCTGTTTAGAGAGCGCGCTGGGGGTTGTGATCCTGTCTCATGTGAAACCCCTAGTTATTGGAGAATGCTGGCCTCTTCAGAAGCCACGTAACTTTGAGAGTCCCAGACTAACGTGGGACCAGAAGGCACCTCAGTGCTCCCCACTTGTAAGGCATCTTGTGTTGTAACTATACTGAGGTCTAGGGTCACAAGGTCTTACACCAATCCATGGGGGTTCGAGAGATGTCAGGGAAGAACTATAAGGAGTGTTCTTAGAATTGGTACAGAGAGGTGTTGCGGACCACAGACAAGAAAGCTTGTTTGAGTGTACCGTGCTAGAAGTGGGTAATAACATAATACAGTTTTTATAATAAGGACTACCATACTGTAAAAATAAAAGACATTTACCAACACTATTAATCATTGTACATTATGTTATTTATGTTTTTACCAAATATTTGGTAAAACTTTTCATTTAAACCCTTACTACTAATATTGCTACTAATATTTTAGAATGCAGAACAGGTAAGTAGTAAAATATTCTGCTGATAAAAATTGGCATCTTTACAGATTTCATATGATTGTGAATGGGCACATTGCCAACATGTAACAAATGCTGAAACCAAACATCTGTTTTTCGAATATATTCCATCCAGAAACATGACCAAACCCTTCTTAGCCAACTTATCGACTGTTCAAAACAGGGAGGGCTAACTTGAAAACAGGAGGTAAAAATTTACAGCTTGATGAGAACTAGCAATGGAGGATGTTTATGATCATGCATATAAGTATACTTTATTTAATTCCAGTTGTGTTTTTGTAAATGTTCTAAACCATTTATAGGGGCACTACACTGCGCAAATCCCCTCCCCCCCCCAAAACATCATCACTTTTTAATATATATATATACCCACTTTAAAAAAATGCATGCATTTAGTTATGCACTTTTTCATTGGGGTTATATCTAAAACAGCTTGCAAAAGTTGCAGATCTCTTGTCCGCAGCAAGCCCACCCATTCTAACCCAGTCCAAACACAGATTTCCCAATGCAGCTCAATGAGATGTCTTTGCAAGACAGGTGCAATTGCTGCCTTAGCTCTACTGAGAACGAAATTGCTATTTGAGTTTTGATCGACCTTTGGGGGTTCCTGTGCGAACACCGACAAACGCTCCTCCTGGCTTTTATGGGGAAAATGCTCCCCACAGACGTTGTTTATCTAGGTGGTTGGGACAGCGGGCAGTGGTACAAACTCCACCCAGGTTCGTGTACTCGCGTGGCCGAAAACAGTTCCAGGCGTTTCACAACTATATAACGCTGCCTATGTTCAGGAGAAAAAATGGCCGCAATTCACAGACCTCGTGCGTTCAGTTATACGAATGGCGACCACCAAGGGAAAGCACTAAAGCCAATATGTTGTTTAATTAATTGGTGGTTAACAGCCAAGGAAGGTCGGTGTTCGAGGAGGTACAAAAGGGGGACCACACACCAGCCATTCGGGAGACGAACAAGGGGGTATGGATAACCGAACACAGGGGAATGGAGTCTGCTGCACTCGTGGCGTACTTCTAGAAACCGGGGGATAGAGTTCTTCATTACGGGATTCTCATTTCATATTTAGGAAGAGAAACAGCCATAGTACATATATAACAAAATGAAGAAAAGATAAGTGTGTCTTAGTGTCTTCTTAAAGAGAACCTGTCATGTCAGATACCGGTTTGCAGTTTTCTAACCATCTGGCTTGACTCATGTTATACAATTAATTGTTTCTTATTCATTATTCATTACCCCTGACTCCTTCTAAAACCATCAATCATGTTTCCAGCTACTGTAACACACATCTCCTGCATATCCCTGGTTGTGAAGTACAGACTTGCTTCACAAACTGTCATATTCTAAACGTAGTGATGAGTTTTTTTCATTTTTTATTTCCTTTCAATACTTGCTGAAATGATTACTATATCAAAAATATTTAGTAGGTGCCCTTTGTGTTTTAAATGTGAAAAGAGTATGTTGCTGCACTACCTTGGGTGCACTCCACAAGCCACAGTATTAGCACATTCTAATGGGGATTTTTAAGATAATCAGTGAACCAGGTTTGTTATTCGAATCCATATATTGGAAAAAAAGGTTAAAATTCTTCTTGAAAAGGACCAAAAAACTAAATACGAAAAAAGTTATATTAAGTGTGAAATTGTCCTTTTCCATATGGCATCGGGGAACTGGGGAAGAACAAGAAAAAACATTATTTTATGTGTATTGTTGCTTGCCTTCTACTTGAGTTTCCTGTTTTTGTATCAACAAATTTGCACAAATCGATGTTAGGTTTTTCCTCTCTTATCAATCATGTTTCATGATACTCTGCTAATTGTTTTGTGCTATAGATTGTGCTCATTAATTGGTTAGGTCAATAGATTTATTTAAAATAATAACACATATGGCTTGAGAAAAGGAGACCATGATGTCACAGTGTTCTGTATTCCATCTCACTCTGCAACAGGTTGATGGCTACACATGAGATACGTAATATCCCTTTTCATCTCAAACACTGTATTGGGTCTAATTTGGATTTGTAATATTTTATTTTTCTACACATTAAATGCTATATGGCCAATAAGCAAATGGACCTGCCATCAAGGAACTACTTCTTATAAAAGAAAAAAAATGGACTATGTGATCCTGTAAAATTCCTCTCTGCTCATTCTCAGTATATTTTTTTTTTATTTTAAACATTACTAAAAAGTAATAGACATATGGTTGAAAAAGCTGGTTAGACCTATGGGTTTTGCATACGTAGATACTTTATGAAGACTGTCTAAGCAGAATATCCCTCATCCTTCTATCGCAGAACAATTAGGAAAATTACCTGCAATAGTAAATCAAACGCAAATCACAGCAACACAATTTCAACTGACTGTTAATAGAAGGAAGGAAGGATATCACCTAAATGTGTCTCTCAAACATACAAAAGGCCAGAAATAAATACTCGTATTCAGGTCCAATAACCTATGTTGCTCACTGGGAAAGGGAGATAGGCAAGGCTGAGAGAATTGACTGGTAGGATAAATGGAAAGCCCATTCTAAAGCTTACGTTTTGGTGTTATTACAGAAATAGTATTTGACGGTCCTAATGCAGGGGTAGGCAACCTTTGGCACTCCAGATGTTGTGGACTACATTTCATCAAATATGTCAGCATTATGTCCTGATGCATTGTTACTCTGTTTAAAGGGTTACTCCAACCCTTATTACTAACAAGGTATTTTTTTACCCAATTGTGCATATCTAAGCTAAGACCTTCCTTCCCCTTGAAAGGTTTTTTTTTTTTTTACTTACCTGTAATTCAGTAATGGGCAAAGCTCCTGCCACTGACCTCCCTCATCCACCTGACTTCAGGGCAACCATTGTGCGGTCCATTCACAGACTTTATGTGCTCTGAGTCAGTGAGGGGAGGGGGAAGGAGTTGGAAGGCACAGAGGGAGAGAGGAATTTTTGTTAAAAATAAAAAACTGCTGTAATAGACATAGGCGAAGGGACCACACAGAGGGAGTTGTGTACAAAGCTTTTTCTTGCAGACTGTGCCTGCAAAGGGAGAATGTCTTTAAATCTGTCACCAATGTCCAGTGCACGCTGACGACAGACATAAAAGATTCACTGAATTGACTTTTGGCCATCCAAAACCGAGTTTTGGGCTTCCAAAGTAGCATGTGCTAAGGGTTTAACTAGGGTGATATGTCTCTGGATGTGCTGCACAAAGGGTGATATGTCTCTGGATGTGCTGCATTATAAGCAGAAAAGCTGCACATCTAGACTCCTACCACCATTACCACTTCACTGTAATCCTTAAACATGAAGACACAGAATTCATCATGTGGTGATAAAGTCCATGAGTGGTGCCATTTTGGGAATCCATTTGGTCCATAATCTGGGTGGCCTTGTACTACCCAGTCCCACCAGGTCCCTGCAATTTCCTTCTGTCCAAGTGACCTCTGTGTTCACCAAACACAAAAATGGCTTGCTCGCTAATAGGAGCACTTTAGCTGGTGTGGAAAAACCATGGGATTACATTAAAGTGTAGGTAATATTCCAATGGGTGAGTTAATACCTATAACCAGAGATACAATGAGGTCCTACTTTGTTGTTCAGACTCTGTAATTGGGATAAATGGACAGTCATCCTATGAATAAAAACAGAGTACCCTGCACTCAGGCCTTCCACCAAGGGGGCGCTCTGTGTGTAGGATGGACACCACTGAATCCACCAATGTAGTATCAAAGAAGAGAAACACAGGCAGCATGCCAGGATATAGAAGGTGAATTTATTCGTGGGTTCACCACCTCACCAAAATAAGTGCAACGTTTTGGCTCCTAAGAGCCTTAATCATGCACTTATTTTCTCTTCTTTTAAGTCATCCTATGAATGTCCTTTCTGACTGTCCCACTGTTATAAAGCACACTGCAGATCTCACTTTCGTTTTCTTTCTTTTAATTGTATTTCTATATAAGACCATTGAGTTGACCTGTACTGTCTTTTTGCATTGCTGAAAATTAGCATCATTCGTCCAACTTTGCGAGCAGTGTTTCCATTCATATGCATGTAGTCTCCAGGTGCTTTTAACAATCTAAAAAATAAATAAAATAATGATTCCATCCTTTGCTCCATCTCCTGCTGTGTCCATACGGTATGGCCAACTTTTACACACTGGAACATTATTGGTCCAAAATAGGAAATGCACAGAAGATGAAAGTATATGCATTTAAAACCACCCACTGAATTCATTTTCAGATTGTATTTCATTTGAATAAATTGTTAACAAAGCATAGAATTTTAGTTCTATGGGAGTAGAAATGCTATAGTGCAAAACAGTTATATATTATTTTCTTAAGATGTAATTGAATGACACAATAGTAGTTTAGATATCATTATTCATCCATGCTTCTGATTAGGTACCATAAAAAGGGAACTACAAAACATATCATGCAGCTATTTTTAGTATATATTAATGCAAACCTCAAACTAAAAAAAAGCAAATGTAATTCTTAGAATACAAAGTTTTTCCAGTGATTAAGAAAAAAGAAAATGCTAATGAAAAAAAACGACCCACTTCAAATCAGGATATGCGTCGTCAAACAGATATCAGCTTCTGTATTCCAGGCAGTATGCTTGTCACATCCGACAGAAAATCACCTGTCAAGGTAGAGGCACGGAGAGGACACCATGTATTGTCATCCAGCGTCGTCGTCAATCAATGTTTCATTCTGTAATTTGTAAAATGGCACTTTAACGCATCTTTGTAAACAAACATTCTTATTTTAACTAAGGATCTTGTTAAGTTGATCCTTGATAGTTCTTATGTCAGAAATACTAGCAATGACATTAACATGGAAATGTATTTTGTGTGATGAAATAATTAATGCCTTAAAACATAGAAAAATATAAAAAGAGTTACATTCTTGGTTAATACAACCCATAATTTTTTTCAACTACAGTAAAAGGTCACAGATGATGAATGACACTAGCATTTCTTACGTCTGGTGGTTATATCAATATTTTAAGTGTACACACTGGTATTTTTAAAGGTCAGTTGTTTCAGAGACAAGAGTTCTAAGTGTCCCTTATGAGCTCTCTGTTCTCCACTTAAGACATTTTGAGTTGTATTGGGAATTTCTAATATCAATTATTTTGCCTGCAGTCATGATAATTATAGTGCATTGCAGATGTCGGTATATTTTATTCAGTTTACTCAAGAAGTATGTTTTTCGCAGTCCACCATGTTGAATCTCACCTTCACTGAGCCAGCGATGTGACAGATCCATAAATACTAAAAAATGTACTGTGATTGTGCTTTTAAAGGAGATAAAAAAAAAACAGATGAATGTTGGCTAATCAGGGGTTGACTGGTTTGGGGGCCAAATGCTCCTCAGGCCTCTTTGAACCACCCCCACTAAATCACATTCATGGTACTCCATAATAAAAGCATTGCCCTGTGTGTGCTTTGTTAGGGGTGGTGCGGTTGTGAGTGAGCAGAGGCCGTGATAAGTGGGCCTAAGTTGCCCAACTGCAGTTGGTCTGAGTTGATCCGTCTTCCCTCCTCCGTGGCAGTACTGTGAGGAGCTCTCTATGAGCGCTCTATTTTAGGCAGTCCAGATCCACACATGGGTCTTCTTTGTATAGTTAGTGAACACAGCTACCAGTAGGAACTGAATGCAACCAATACTCAGCCATTCCAGCAAGTACTCTCTCTGAACTCTAGTACTTTAGTGAGGCTCTAAGTATACCTGAATTAATGGCATTTGCCAGAGGGAGAGGTAAGTGAGGGTAAAAAGACAGGGGCGGCACGGAGTGGGGAAGCATAGCGCCATTGGCTGTCTGGCACCAGAATGCTGTATATGTTGGTGTCAGAAACCAATTTTGCACAGAATTAAACTTACCTTTTTTTTTTTTCCAGTGTCAAGGACAAGTTCTCTTTCAGCTCGATTTCCCTCCAGTGGCATTACTCCCTATTTACAAAGTGTGAGGAGGACAGGGACATTACTGGGGCGCGATGCCATTGGCTGTCTGGCGCTAGCATACTGTGTGCTGACGTCAATCACCCATTTTGCATAGAATTGACATTAGCCACCCAGGAAGGCTAATGATGGGATGGCTAATGATGGTGCCAGAGGTCATGTTTTGGGATGGCTAATGATTGTGCCAGAAGTCGTGTTACACCTCCGGCAGATAAGGAATTCATCTCTGTATGTGCAGCGTTTAATAGCAAAATGCTGCATATACAGATCCAGGAACCATGACCACTACAAAACAATGAAGTGGTCATGGTGCTTGGAGTAACCCTTTAAGATTGGCCTGACCATGTTTGACAAGTGTCTTTTAAACAGTTAATTTAGGTAATGATACATTCATAGGCCAACTGTCATCACAATTTCACTTTTTTTGTAAATGTTTTCAAATGTTTATTACATTCAATGAAACATAATTAAATATATATATGTTATCAGACCAACTGCTTCTCCACCAAACGTATCTGTTGTAGTTTCACACACAGAAATCACAGCAGCAGGCAAGTTAAGCTGAGCAGCAGCTGGTCAGGTAACAGTAGAGTCTAATCTCTTAATACGTGGAGCAGTATTGGAAAATGTAATATACCGTATTTTTCGCTCCATAGGACGCACTTTTTTCCCCCTCAAAAGTGAGGGGAAATGTCTGTGCGTCTTATGGAGCGAATGTGAAGAATTACTTACCTGTCTTGGAGCGTGGGCCGGCTTCACAGCGCGCTCCGCGGTCCAGGAACTTCTATTTCAAGTTCCGGTTTCCGGCGGGACTGAAAGGAAGTGTGCACACTGAGTGTGCACACTTCCTTTCAGTCCCGCCGGAAACCGGAACCTGAAATATTAGTTCCTGGACCGCGGAGGGCGCTGTGAAGCCGGCCCACGCTCCAAGACAGGTAAGTAATTATGGGACAAGGGGAGGGGGAGACACTATGGGACAAGGGGAGGGGAGGAGACACTATGGGACAAAGGGAGGGGGACACTATGGGAGAAAGGGAGGGGAGACACTATGGGACAAGGGGAGGGGGAGACACTATGGGACAAGGGGAGGGGGAGACACTATGGGACAAGGGGAGGGGGAGACACTATGGGACAAGGGGAGGGGGAGACACTATGGGACAAGGGGAGGGGGAGACACTATGGGACAAGGGCAGGGGGGACACTATGGGAGGGAAAGTGCACTATGGGACAAGGGGAGGGGGGACACTATGGGAGGGAAAGTGCACTATGGGACAAGGGGAGGGGGAGACACTATGGGACAAGGGGAGGGGGAGACACTATGGGACAAGGGCAGGGGGGACACTATGGGAGGGAAAGTGCACTATGGGACAATGGGAGGGGGGGACACTATGGGATCAGAACACTAATGGACAAGGGGAGGAGGGGTTAAAGAACACTATGGGACAGGGTAGGAGGGGTTAACAATCACTATGGGACAGGGTAGGAGGGGTTAACAATCACTATGGGACAGAGGAAAGGGGGGTTAAAGATCATTATGGGACAGGGGAGAAAAAAAAAATATTCTGAACAAACTGTCCCATGGTAAGAAACACTATGGAACAGTTTGTTCAGAATATTTTTTTTTCTGGGTTTCCTCCTCTAAAAACTAGGTGCGTCTTATGGTGAGGTGCGTCTTATGGAGCGAAAAATACGGTAGATATATACAACCGTATTTTTGTATCCTCCAATAGGTGCCGTTTGTTAAAAATACATGTAAAAAAAGAACAAGAAAGACAAATAGTATAGATCGTCTTAACAGATTCTAAATTTCATTCCATATACATTGATTGCTCTTATAGTGGGTTGATGTAGAGCTTGTATGAAATAGTCAGAGTTCTTTATACAGGTAGTACCATTCATAAGAATTATAAGTGGGGAATAATCCTTTTTAAAAGATGAATGATATAAAGCTTATAATTTATTGTAGACAGACATGTATGACAGAAATAAATTAATTAAAAAATCAATAAAAATTCTGCCTCTTACGAGAACAGGTGGTGAGTAACCACGGCTTATACCGTTACTCACTAATCAGACTTACTATGGATGGGCTGCAAACGTCTCTGGAAGCAGGGTAGAGTTCTCTAGTATTACTGGCACCGTTTCACCGTGTCTTTCCAACAGGTTCAGTTCTGTTCACTTTCCCACCGTACACTTCAGATCCGCAGTCTCTGCCCCTCTCGATGACGTCAACGCGTTTCGCCGTTTAATTGCAGCTTCCTCAGAACGTGCTGATGACTCCATATTGGAGATAGGCATATAAGGGCAGAGTGTCCAGTCATCATTGGCTACTACAAAATGCCTCATTAACATATTATCATTATCATTACATATTCGAATGATATTTAGAGTCTGCTAAGATGATCTATACCGGTGGTAGTCAACCTTTTTCTACCTACCGCCCACTAATGCATCTTTCTTGATGGAAAAATGTCCTTACCGCCCACCAGTTTTCGCGCAAGTGCAGAATATTTTTTAGAAAGGAGGGTGTTTTAAAATAAATAAATGTACATACATTTATCTTTTTATTTCTACTTAATGCATGTTTAGAATGTTTTTAACTTTATAAAGTTTAATGAGAAAACAATAAAGTAAATTACCTTTACTAGTGATTAATGAGATCCTTGAGGTTGATGCTGCGACACTAAATATTTGATATCTGGTTCGATTTTCGTAAGGAACAAACAAAGGTCTCCTCTTTCAGTGATGTTCAGACGACTTCTCTGTTTGCGCATAATATGATTTCTCATCTGTGCATCAACTCATCTCCTCTCCCTCCTCAATTCCCCTCCCCACCTTTTTTTTTCCTTTTTTCTATTTTTTAACCT